GGGGAACCTCCAAATTTCCATTGGCTGCCGAGTTCCCCTGATACAAAACTGATGCTGCTCGTAGGGATCAAGAGCCTTGATTTTTTTTCCTCTTGGCACCTGGGGAAACCTTGGCCCTCCCAACCCCGTTTCTCTGCCCTGGCAAGGCTCGTGACATCAGGCCTCAAAGCCATGGGTGTGGTCTAATTTATTCCCTCCTTCTGCTCTTTCCTCTGGTTGTTCCTGCCCGTGGATCGTGTGGGGAGCGGGGCAGGAGCACTGTGTGCTCAGGAGGCTGCCAAAGGCGACGGAGCCAGCCAAGTGCAAACTCAAAAGGTCGGGTTCAAGAGTCTAAGGGAGAGAGTTGCAGGTTTTCCGATGGCTTTGACGTCTCAAAGGGGGCTGATGGATGTTCCCTTTGTTTGTTCTGTGACCAGGCAAAAGTCCTATAGAAACGCGGGCAGAGCCCTCCCTTGGCTGATCTGGGATTATTTATCCTGCTTTATTATTCCTTTTGCCACATCCAAAGGTCCTTCCCTGCCACTGGAGCCCCTGACGCCGTTTTAGAGACGTAAAACACACGCAACTAACGGACACAACTTTCTTCCCTCATTCCCATAATAACATCTTTCAATTGCGGGGAAGGAAAAAAAAAAAAAATCACAAAAAGAGCTTCAATTCTCCATTCAGTCCTCCACCCAAAAGTCCACCGGGGACCCCTGAAAACAACTCACCTCTTGCTTCTTAATTTGAAGCCTTACAGACGTCGAGAGGTCTGTCCTGTGTGCTCAGAGTGAGTCACAGCACGGAGCAAAGTGCAGATAAAAGAGGGTGTGGTGGCGGCAGGAGGGAGGGCAGGAAACAGATGTGTCTGTGGTTTTGCTGTCTGGTCAAGTGGGTGAGCTCAGGGATCATTAGGGAAGGCCTGGGATAGTTCTGGAGTCGGTGTAAATTAAGGCTGTTGAAGTTGCAGGGATTTACTCCAGCCCAGCAGCATCAACCCTTTTGCTGTTTGTGTGGGTCATTGCAAAGAGCTAAAATCCAACTGGAGTCATTTTATCCCTCCTCAAGTGAAAGCTCAGCCTGATTAATTTCCCTTACTTTTCTTCCTTATTAAATTAATTTGGTAGTTTTGTGAAAAGAGAGAGAGATTTAAGAAGATTAAAAATCCACACCTGGGAGCTCAGAGGCAGCTGAACCTCCTTCGCTCTGCTGAAAACAGGCTGCTCATCTCCTTGTCAAAATAAAGAGGGAGTTTCTTTCCACAAGCCATTGGAAAGCAATGGGATAATTGGTTTCCTTTAGGATCAGCCCTGGAAGGAGACTATAGTGGTCTGATTCCCCAAATCACCTCCTCTCTGGGCAAGCTTTCAGTGCGCGTTCGGTGATTATCCCATCAGCGGGAAGGACGCTGGGAAGCACCTGATGAAGGAACCCAGGCTTGGGAAGGAGGATCCAAACCAAACAGGAGTGGGAGAGGAGCAGCCAGCCCTGCTGAACGTTGTATAACTGCAGCCTGGAGCTCTGAAAAAGAAAAAGTTTCCACTTCTTCAGTTAAAGGTCACATCTGGCAAACATCGCCCGGCGTGTTAACAATTAGAAAAAATGAAATATCTCTGCCTTCAATTTTAGTTGACAAAATAAACAGGAGAATTCCATTGATCCTTTTAACAGACTGTTGTGTTATTCTTTGGGATGCGGTGAATTTCCAGCCTGTTGCTGATCTTATCCAATTAAAGGGGAACTGAGCTAGAATGGCAAATCAGGAGGCCTCACCCCCCCCTCTGGATCCAAAACAACCCTCATAAATGCCTCTAGGAATTGCTTTTTATCCTCTAGTGACTCAACAGGATCCCCATAAAAATGGAGAGTGACGTTCTCGGGGTGTTTTACATGGATGGACACCAGCCCTGGGACCTGCAACTGGGATATTTTGTAAGGTTTTTATTCCCCTTCGAGGGCTGCCTGGCCCTGCAGTGGGGTCGCACAACCCCTTGTAGTGTGGGGCAGGAGGAGATCTGAGTCCTTAATACACTCTTGAACTGGGGCTGTCTTGGCCATCAGAGTAGGTGGTCTCAAAATTACCTTTTTTGGTGTTGACTTACGAGAAAGAAATACTATTTCTTCAGTTATTCTTGTCCCTGCTCCATCATTTTAGCCACGATTTTTCCAGAGCATCTCGAGTCGTCCCCAAACTCGATGAACTGAGCTGACACTTTGCTAAAAGGACTGTAACCGCGGGGTTCGGCACAATAAACCTCAGAGAAGGGAGATAAATCCACCCAAATGTTCATATATTCCTTATATCACCCTCTGCCATCCCAGATTCCACTGGCTCGTGGGCTGGGGGTCTCACTTCCCATCGTGGTGTGGGAGTAGAGTATGGAATGATGGAATGGTTTGGGTTGGAAGGAGCTTCAAGATCATCCAGTGCCATCCCCTGCCATGGGCAGGGACACCTTCCACTAGCCCAGGTTGCTCCAAGCCCTGTCCAACCTGGCCTTGGACACTTCCAGGGATGGATCTACTGGAATCCGGGACTCTGCTTCTGCACAGGGGCTCAGGACAAACAATCCTGGAATCCTGGAAGGCTTTGGGTTGGAAGGTGCCTTGAAGTTCATCGTTGGGAATATCACACCAGGCCCTGAGCATTTAATGGGTGTAATTTTTTCCAGTCATAGAATTCCAGGATAGTTTGGGTTGGAAGATCATCCAGTCCCACCCCTACACCTTCCACTAGCCCAGGTTGCTCCAACCTGGCCTTGGACACTTCCAGGGATCCAGGGGCAGCCACAGCTTCTCTGGGCAACCTGTGCCACCCTCCCAGCCAACAATTCCTTCCCAATATGTCACCAAAATCTCCTCTCCATCAGTTTGAATCCATTCCCACTCATTCTGGTACTCCAAGCCCTTGTAAACATTTTCTTTCCATCTTTCCTGTAGCTCCTTCAGGTCCTGGGAGACCAAAATTAGTTCCCCCCAAACCTTTCTCTTCTCCAGGTTGAAAAAAAAAACCCAAAAATTCTTTAGAAGCGCTCAGAGTTTTAATTTCACTCAAACAAAGGATGTTCCCATGTCATGAGTAGGTTTGATTTTCTGATGGGAAAAGAAATCCCCATCTGATGACACATTTTACATTCTGAAATACTTTGCAGAATCCATTTAAAATATCCTGGGTTTCCATCAACTTCCTTGTTTGTAGCTCTTGAATTCTTTAACACAAGGAGTTAGAACACAAAGAATCACATTTGGGCCACATAAACTTAAGAGAACTGATAGAAAATGGAGATATTTTTTGAGGACTTGTTAAAGTTTTCCCTCAGCGTGTCACATGGGGTTTCTTTTTTGTTCTCACAGGTTTTAATTTAAAAAACAAACACCGAGGAAACGAGGAAACTTTGGATTCTTCAAAATATCCTTTGGGAAATCATTATCTCGATTTCAATCAACAAGAACCAGTTTTGTTGATTTTTACTGATTTTTTTTTTTTGTTTCTTTAGTTGTTGGTGGTTTACTTACGTAGAAATATCCAGAAATCCCTAAAATAAAGTTCAAGCAAAAACAAACCGAGACTTCTTTCTTTTTATTCGTTGTGGAAATAATTTCCTATATTAAAAATAAATAAAATGGATAAATAAATAAAGCTGCAATACCCCTTATGCTCTGAAACATTCCCTGAGCTTTTTGTAGAGTAACAACAACATGAAAAAAAGGGAAAAAAAAGTCATTTCAATCACTAAATAAAAGTTCTCTGACGGTTTCTTGCGGTTTGTGCCCAGATAACCCGCCCGTGGGCTGCAGGTGCCGTGTCAATCCCATAATTCTTCCTCCCCTCCAACCTTTCATTTCTGTTTGGAATTTCTCCCAGAACATTTTAACTCTTTTCCTTGATCCTGCAGCAGCCCTTTGATTGTTTGCAGCTGACTAAAGCTGAGGACAAGACATGGAATCTCATCAGAGAAACTGGGCTGGAAGAGAGAAACCTCCAGCGCTGCAACAAGGCAGGATTATCCCGGGGGGGGCTGTGAGGAAGTTTTCCACACCTTGGCTGAAGGAGTACTGGGATGAACTCTGTGTATCAGGTACAGCCACAACCTCAGAAAGCCCATGGGCCTCCAAGTTGGATGGAATTCCACAGCTTTTCCCAGAGAAACTGCGGCTGCCCCATCCCTGGAAGTGTCCAAGGCCGGGTTGGAGCAACCTGGGCTAGTGGGAGGTGTCCCTGCCCATGGCAGGGGGTGGGACAAGATGAGCTTTAAGGTCCCTTCCAACCCGAACCATTCCATGATTCCAGGATTTATCCAAGCAAAGTGAGCAGGTTCCCCCCAGAAGAAATGGAAATGGAAGGTCCTTTTTTATGGAATCATGGACTACGCTGAGCTGGAAGGAACCCTCAGCCCTGCACAGGAACATCCCCAAGGGTCACCCCCTGTGCCCCAGAGGATCAGCCAAACCCTCCTGGAGCTCTGGCAGCCTTGGGGCTGTGCCCACTGCCCTGGGGAGCCTGGGCAGTGCCAACCACCCTCTGGGGGAAGAACCTTTCCCTGAGATCCAACCTGAGCCTGCCCTGACACAGCTCCAGCCATTCCCTGGGTGCTGTCCCTGGTCCCCCCAGAGCAGAGCTCAGTCCCTGCCCCTCCTCTGCCCCTGCCTAGGACGTTGTACCTGCAGTGAGGTCTCCCCTCAGTCTCCTCTGCTCCAGCTGAACACACCAAGTGCCCTCAGTGTCCTCACAGGGCTTCAAATCCAGGCCTTTCCCCACCTCCCCATCATTCCTCAGTTGTATCCCTGGAGAACAAACATCTCTTCCCACATTCTATTGGGAAGTCAGGTTGTCTGATTTATTTTCCTCACCATCCGTTAGCTCATCCCACCAACGTTTCAGCACATGGAATCATCGAATCCTAAAAAGGTTTTTGGCTTGGAAAACACCTTAAGGATCATCTCCTTCCAACCTCCCCACTGTGGGCAGGGTCACCTTCCACCAGACCAGGTTATGTCAGAATAAAACAGCTGGAAAGAGACAGTGACAAGGAAGGATTTTTAATTAATAAATCAATTTTTGGTAGAGATTATTCCTTCATTAAATCAAGTGATTATTAGAGTTCTCTGCTTTGAAACCTTCTGAGGAAATTCACCATATTCGCCTTTAAAATAAAAGGGAAAAGAGGATATTTTGTTTTACCACTGGACGAGAAAAAGACATGAAAGCTCAAAAATCTCAAAATGTCTTCATTGAATAGAAAATTCTTATTTGTTTCAGACAACGGTGATGTTGCTTTAACCGTAAACTATTTTTTTAAATTGAAAATACATTTTTAAAACACTTTTTTTTGGGTTTTTTTGAGCTGGAAACATAAAACCCTTCCGTTTAGCGCCGTCGGAACGAGACATTTATAAAACTCAACTCTTGTATTTATTGAAACAGAAGTCGCTGGGATTTAATTACACGATTTTAGCAGCATAAAAACCTTGGCCTAGTAATTATATTTCCATATTTTCCAGGTCAGAATAAGCTTTTCCATAAACCTCCGGGTAGATGAGATTTGTTACAGAAAATCTAAGGAGAAGAACTGTCTTAACTCTGTGTTTAAACCATACCTGGCTTTATCAGCAGCAATTTGGGGCAAAAATGTCCAAGTCAAAAACGTGGCTACAGGATTTGACTTCCAATTCATCCACAAATAAAAAGATTGAGGGTAAAGACAAACAGGAGGGTCTCCCTCACCCCTCCCTTTGGGCACAGATGGTTCTGGAATTTCCATGTTAGTCCCGGTACTAAAACCAGGGAGACCAAGCTTTGCTCCAGAACTTCAAGGGTATAAAGGAAGAAGTTTTTTTCCTGGATGTTGGGCCTCAAATTTTATTTGGAGAAGAGTTAAGGAATCATAGCTGGCATTCCTCTGCCATGTCTGATGGTTTTTTGGGATGAGGTGTAGTTGGAAGCTGGCAGATCCCTCCCACCTCCTTCCAAGATCCTTCCATCCTCGTGGCACCATTGAACTTTGCTCCTGAACTCATGGGTACATCTGGTTTGATGTTGGGAATGGCCAATGGAATGAGAAGGGAAAGAATTCCTTTCAGGTTGCCATTAAAAAATATAATCAAACCCTTGGAGGTCAGAATGGGTGATGGGGAGATCAGAGAATGGTTTGGGTTGGAAGGGACCCTAAAGATCATCCAGTGCCACCCCCTGCCATGGGCAGGGACACCTCCCACTAGCCCAGGTTGCTCCAACCCAGCCTTGAACACTTCCAGGGATCCAGGGGCAGCCACAGTTTCTCTGGGAAACCTGTGTCAGGGCCTCCCCACCCTCCCAGCCAAGAATTCCTTCCCAATATCTCATCTAAATTTACCCTCCTTCAGTTTAAGGCCATTCCCTGTGTCCTGTCCCTCCATCCCTTGTCCCCAGTCCCTCTCCAGCTCTCCTGGAGCCCCTTTAGTTCCTGAAAGGGGCTCTCAGCTCTCCCTGGATCCTTCTCTTCTCCAGGGGAACCCCCCCCACTCTCCCAGCCTGTGTCATCACCCTCACAGGGGGAGAATTTTTTCCTCATATCCTCATCTAAACCTGCTCTCTGTCAGTTTGGAGATGTTGTAGTTCAACACCATCCTGCGAGACATCCTGTCCATCTGTCAGAACCTGCAGCAGAGCAACTGGAGGAGATATTGTGTTCGTGGGGATGTTCAACAGGAATCAGCAAAGAGAGTAGATGGAAAACCTTCCCTCCAACACAAAGGTTTTATTACAATTCCTTGTCATCAGCCAGGATTGTCCAGCACAGCCAAAAGAATTTGAATGCAAAGAAAACCTGCGAGAAAATAAGATGGAAAACAAGGCAGGTCTTTTGTTGGCTTTTTTTTTTAGTTATCTACTCAGACTTCCATAAAATTCTAAACATTGAGCTGGGAATTAAAAGCCAGGGAATTAAAAGCCTCAGGACCTGCTCTGAAGATAATTTTCCAGTATTGAGTAAATGTTGTGTCTTGCAGAGGATCTTCAGCAGCTTTGGTGGGATTTGGTTGGAGGTTGGACTTGATGATCTTGGAGGTTTTTTCCAACCTTAATGATTCCATGATTATCTCGGCAGAGAGGGATCTAAACCCTCCACCATCAAATCTCCAAGAATGGAATGGATGCTTTGAGGGCCCGATGTCTTGACTGATTTTGTTGGGACAAACTCAAAGTTAGCAGCCCTACAAAGTTAACACCTTTCACACGAACAGTGTCAAACTCCTTGGGTCTGAAATCCGAAATCCTCCCCACACGAGTGAGCTACAATTTGGGCGACCCTCTGCCTTCAGTTCATGGGAGGAAAAGTGTTTTCCCTGCTTCCCTAAAATTAAACTGTTTGCATCTCTCAGTAAAATTTTATATAACATTTTTAAAGGTCAGAGTTTGTCTGTTGATGTCTTTTGTGTAAAATACGACTCTGTGTTGGCAGGACTATCAAGAAACAGGTTGTTTTTTGTAACTTCACTAAGTAGGACATTAGGGCTGGATTCTGCTTTGGATTTCAAAATAATAATCCCCATCCCACTTTATGTAAAACTTGTGACTCTCATTTGATTTGAGTTCACTGATGGACAAATCCACCTTTTCAACTGCTCTGCAATTCCCTTTTTCTTCCAGGACACAAACCCTCATGATTTATTTTGGGCTCAGAAAAATGGTGGGTCAAGACTTTCCCATAGTAAGGAGAATTTTGCTGTTCATACACACCTCTTGAAGAATCCTAGATTAATCAAGAGCTAAATAATCATAATTTTTTTGACATTTTATGCTCCTTGTTCCTACCTGTTGATTCATTCAGGTCTGACGACAGTTTTGGAAACATGGAGCTTCCTGGGGAAGAGTTGTGCCTTACCTTTGAACCTAAAAAGTGCAAATAATAAAAGATCTTAATTATAAAAATAAAAAAAAAAAAGATGAACCAGAGTGAAATCCAAACAAGAACAAGTCCTGAAACAAAGGCAGTGTCAGATGAATATCTAAAATTCCTGGAAAGGTTCTGCTAAAGTGGCAAAGTCAAAGCTGAGATATTTTACCTATTAAAGAGGGAAAAAAAACCCAGTTACATTTGAATAATTTATTGATAATTTTATTGATGTTATGGTTAATATTGATCATTTTAAATCCTCAAATTACTAATATTAAAAGGGGTCCTGTTAGCAGGGACAGGAGCCTGCAAAATATGAGCATTTCTGTGAGCAAATCCAGTTTTAAGAGGAGTAGTGAACACACATAAACAGCAATTAACAAACAAAACCCAGAGAACTTACCTCCATTTCCCTCTAATTTAAAAGTCCAAGCCACCATCCCTCAGCACACAACTCCAATATTCTGGAATTCTCGGAGCTGGCAGGGATCATCTTCCCCAGCCCCTGCCCAGAGTGGGGTCAGCTCCAACAGAGCCATGTGCAGTTGGGTTTTGGTGTCTCCAAGGACAGAAACCTCTCTGGACAAGTCTGATCAGGTGTTCAACCACCTTCTGAGTAACAAATAAATCAATTTAATGTCCAAAAGGAATTATGTGTTCTAGTTGTCACTGGGTTTGTCCTGTCACTGTTCACCACGGAGACAAATCCTACTCCGTGTATTTGATTTCTTTACTCCCCCATCATGTATTTAATTTTCCCTTCCCCAGCTCTTCCAGCCTCTTTCCACGTGGCAGATGCTCCAGTCCAGTCCCTCAATTTTTTGTGTGGCCCCTTTGCTGGCCCTGCTCCAGTTTTTCCATGTCCTTCCTGCCCTCAGCACTCCAGAGGTGTCCTCACCAGTACCTTTAGTATCCGTCCTAGGGATCTAAATTTGCATTAATGGACAAACTATTGGATTAGTAGGCTTCAGAAAGAGTTTCCAAGTCCAGTCAAAGAACACAGGCACAAATTAAAACAGGCTGAGGAAGATGGAATAAGGTCACCTACTCCAGCTTCCTGCTCTGGGAGAGGAATTACTCCACTTACTTACACAATTCCTGACATGTGTCTATGATTTTCCCAAAACTCTCCAATGAGGGAATTCCCACAGCCTTTCCAGGCATCTGATTACAGCACTTTATACTGTCCCTACTGTTTCTCCCGCTGTTTTATTGGAATCTTCCTTCCTGGAAGCTGGGATGACACGAGCACTGTCTGCCAGTTCTGTTCCAACTCCCACAAAGTTGCCTGGGTTATTCATGGGATTGGCAGGAAGAATCCAGGCCCTAAAGCAAACAAATTGCTCTGGATCTCCTGCTACACCCCACTGTCAGAAGGTTTTTGTGGGAACATTAATGGATTTGGGAATAGCTAAATAAAACAGGCACCTGCTTGTCTCAGCTACACACGGAATAATCTTCCCATGTACAAAATCAGACCATTCACTGGGAAAACTGAGGGAGTTTTCCAAATTGAAATGTCAGAGAATTCCTTTTATTTTCTGGTGGTCTATAAAAGAGGATTTCAGGAGTAAGTGTTCCTCTGACTTCCCAAAGATGTGTTTTATACAATCCCACAATGGTTTGGGTTGGAAGGGAACTTAAAGATCATCCCATTCCAGATCCCTCATCGTGGACAGGGACACCTCCCACTAGCCCAGGTTGCTCCAAACCCCATCCAACCTGGTCTTGGACACTTCCAGGGATCCGGGGGCAGCCACAGCTTCTCTGAGAAATCCATTCCAGGACCTCACCACCTTCCCAGGGAAGAGTTTATTCCTAAAATCTAATCTAAACCCTCTCTCTGTCAGTTTGAAGCCATTCCCCCTTGTCCTGTCCCTCCAGGCCCTTGTCCAAAGTCCCTCTCCAGCTCTCCCAGGGCTCCCTTTGGAATTTTAGGCCAGTTCCACCATGTCCTCTCTGGGAAAGCCTTCAAGTGAACATTAAAGGGTGATTAATCCTCATTTGCTGTCGATGGATTAATCTGATTAAAACATACCTGTGTGATTTAGGGTGGGAATCCACCACCTTGGAGTGGGGATCTCACACCCTATGGAATTTCCTGGAGAACCCTGAGATCAGCAGATACAACACAGGAGAAAGTTCAGGCAGCCTGTGCCCCTCTGGAAGAGAAGATGGAAACTTGGGGGGATACCTTCAAGGACAGTAAGTGTCCATGTTTAAATATTGGACCATGCCAGAGGTGGCTGGACTGGGGGGATTATCACACGTTCCCAATTAATGTGATTAACTTTCAGTCAAATAACCTACCAAAAGGCATCCCACACATCTATCTGAGGTCAATTTTAACGATGCAGAACTGCAAATGTACAGATTCCTTCGTCGTGTTCCTGCTTTTTTAGTGCCCAAAGGGGACACTGAGCAGGCAGGACCTGGAATTTCGGGGACCTGTCAGTGCTGGTGTCTTCTGGACTGAATATTCCGGGAGGGGATCCTGTGAGACAGGCAGGAAACACTTCTGAGTGTCTGCACTGCCCAATCTCAACCTCTCCTCAACTGCACCTCAACATGGAAAAGTTGTGTTTAATTGGATTCAGGAGGACTGGCTGGAGGAAGTTCAGATGGGATCCATCCCAGCTAATTATGTTCCCTCTGCCTTTTTGGTGAGCTGAAAAGGTCAGTTAAATATCGAAGCAGATTGTTCTCAGGGCCCTTCCCTCCGTCATTCCCAGTTTTTTTTCCTCCACTTGAACACGAGTTGGAATATCCCTACAAATACGCAGAACATTGGGACAGCAAGAGAATCCCAAAATGGGTATAATATCTCCACCAAATGTATATAAAAAGCAGATAATTAAAAAAGGGAGTGTTTAGGAAAATAAGAGGTTTCTTCTCCCCACTTTGCAGGTGAGAGAGATAAGATTAAATTAAATAAACTCCATAATTTTTCAAAGTTGCAGGAGAGTCTATAAGACAGTGAGATCCATCAAGGTCTCTCAAGGCTTTGGAATATGGGGCACAACTGCATTTTCCTCCTCCATGGGGTGGAATTTCGCTTCTTTCCTGAATTTCAAGGTTTCCAACACGCAGCTGATTTCAACTACACTGAGGGTTTTTAAGTCTGACCAGATCCTGTTGCAAAAATAAAAAAAAAAAGGGACTTGGCTGAGGGTTGTGGTTTTAATCATCATTATGGCCCTGCCTCTCTCATCTTTCCTCACCAGCTCTAATCTGTGCTGCTGCATCTGCAGATAAGAGTCAGCAGAATCAGTGGTTTGAAGGATCATCTGAGAGGGGAATTCTTTCCTTTGAAAGCCTGGAAAGTGGTCCCCTGTGTGTGTCATTAAGCTGGAGGCAAAAGCAGATGCAAGGCTTAGATTATCTCTTGGTGACAGCCTAAATAAAACACAGGAATTGTCAGGGCAGGGAGGGGACAGTCAACGACTGAATTCTGAATGAGGGATGACTGGGGGGAAAAAAGGGAGATTTTCCCGTGGAATAAAGTTGTGGAATTTCACTTCTTTGCATAGGAAAGGAGTGTGAGGGTGACATCCTCAAACAAGGGGGATGGCACTGCAAAGAAAAAATATCTGTACTGTGTTCACAGTCTTCCTAAATATTGTCCTCCATGCTGGACTGATGCTTTATTTTAGTGCTTGGAATATGGGAAGAAATGTCGCCTCTGGAGTGTTTTTTCAGAAGTTCACAGAATTTATATTTCTCTGAAGCCTCCCTTCCAACCCTTAATCAGTTAAAATCTACTCATTGTAGAATCATGGAATGGTTGGGGTTGGAAGGGACCTTAAAGATGATCCAGTGCCACCCCCTGCCATGGGCAGGGACACCTTCCATCATCCCAGGTTTGCTCCAACCTGGCCTTGGACACTTCCAGAGATCCAGGGGCAGCCACAGCTTCTCTGGGCAACCTGTGCCAGGGCCTCCCCACCCTCCCAACCAAGAAATCCTTCTCAATATTCCTTCTAAACCTGCCCTCCAGCAGCTTAAGACTATTCCCCCTTGTCCTATCACTCCAACCCTTATCCAAAATCTCTCTCCAGCCTTCTACCAAGCCCCATTTTCTTTTTTTAATGGGAATAAACCCAATTGCTGTCAATGTGTCTCAACAGTCAGGACAAACTGAAGAGTAAAACCAACCACTAAAACAACCAACATTCCTGAAGATATTTGTCACCTGCTCTATTTTCAAGCTGAGGAAACATCCCTGACAGAATATATCTGACCTCTCCATAGGATAACCCAGCCTGGAGTTGCTGCTGGTTCATTAAGTTGGTAATTATTCAGCGTGTGTGATTTCTAGGAATAGGCATCGTGGATAAGCCCTGTTTGTTTTGGCTCCGTCTCCATGGGGATAAACAGAAGGAGAGTGATTAATTTCCATTCTGTTGCCATGGTTATTAATAATAATGAGGTGATTATTACTGCACTGTAAACCTTACAGCAATTCCAAGGCTGCCACAAAAAAAAAAAAAAAAAAAAAAAAAAAAAAAAAAAAAAAAGAAAGGAAAAAAAATAAAAGGAGTGAGGGAGAAAGGGAGAGAGAGAGAGAGGAAGAAAAAACAACAATGAAAGAGCTGGATCTGCTCCTCAGCCCGGGCAAATCAGCACTCACACGTTGCCTCTGATGAGAGGCAGTGAAATAAAAGATGTGTTTTTGGAGAGGCTGGACCTGCAGACAGAGCAATATTAATAAAACAAGTGATAGATGAGAAGCCCTCACTGACTTCAGCACGTCAGTGCCCGCCGGGGTTTGCTCAGGGCGGGGATTTGCCAGCACGAAGGTCCCACCTGGTTCCCACAGCCAATGGAAAACTTCCCCGATGTGCTCAGTGTTTTCTGGATCGGGCTGGATCTCATTAGTTCCACCAGAAAAAAGCGGGGCTGGTGTGTGTGTGAGGGGGGGGGGTGATGAGTAGAGGAGAATAAAAATGTAATTAAAAAAACAAGCACCAGCTCTTACCCCTGGGTGAGTAATGAGCAACTCCCACATTCCTGGTACCTGCTCAGCTGGCTCTGTGTCCTTGCTCCAAGTGATTTGTATTCCTCCCGGAGACATTGCCATGGTGTTGGAACAATAAGTAACACTCAGTTAATCAGATTGTCCCCGCGGGTGAGATCGCGTTTGTCAGGGATTCTGCTCTCCAAGCCGGGATGTTTTGCAGACCTTCCCTCTTTCTGAGCCCCGGGGTAGGTGCAGAAAGCTCACAACTGGCAAATCCCAGCCACTGGGCAGAGCTGTTGTTGTTATTTTATGGCTCACTGGGATCCGACATCAGCCTTTTCACACAAGGGCTTGGAATGACAGAAACAGGATGAGAAAGTGCCTGTTTGCATTCTTCTCCCCCAAAGCCACGAGCTGTGCTTTCAGGCTCTTGGTTTTCCAACGTTTCCTCTTCCAAACCGGGGGAAGTCATTTTGCATATTTGTTTCTTCCTCCCCGCGTGTCTCGTTCCTGGTTTTGCGAGGGCGGCGACCTCCCCCTCCGCCTCGGCGTCCGCCTTTCCTGCGTGGAGGATGCAAAAATCAAACAAAAATCAAAACCCGCAGCCCAGCTGCTTCCCAGATTTGCTGGTCTGCTGAGGTGCCTTCAAAGGACAGAGGGCAGCAGGTCGGGTGAAGCACTGGCTGTCAAACGCTCCCGGAGAGCCAAGGTAGCAAAAAATAAACCCCTGTGGCTTTGTGGGAGTTTAAAGGCAAAACGGGGCTGGGGGGAGTGTTGTGGCTTTCAAACAGGGCTCTGAGTGTTCACCTCCTGATGATGTGGTGGCTCAGAGCCTGCAGAGAGGAGCATCAGCTCCTCCTGAGGGCTGGTGGCACAATGAGGACGAGCCATTTTCCCTCTGGAGACAAAGTTCAGTGTGGGCACTTTGGACGAGCCAAGGGTCAAGAGCAACACGAGCTGCTGGGGCTCAGTGTCCTGGGCCACAGAGCCACAGAGTCCTGGCACAGTTTGGGTTGGAAGGGACCTTAAGGATCATCTCATCCCACCCCCCTGCCCTGGGCAGGGACCCCTTCCACTAGCCCAGGTTGCTCCAACCTGGCCTTGGACACTTCCAGGGATGGTTCTACTGGAATCTGGGGCTCTGCTTCTGCACAGAGGCTCAGGAAAGTCACAGAATCTTGGAAGGCTTTGGGTTGGAAGGTGCCTTGAAGTTCATCCCCAGGAACATCACACCAGGCCCTGAGCATTTAACGGATGCAATTTTTTTCCAATCATAGAATTCCAGACTGGTTTGGGTTGGAAGGGACGTTAAGGATCATCCAGTGCCACTCCCTGCCATGGGCAGGGACACCTCCCACTAGCCCAGGTTGCTCCAACCTGGCCTGGGACACTTCCAGGGATCCAGGGGCAGCCACAGCTTCTCTGGGCAACCTGTACCAGGGCCTCCCCATCCTCCCAGCCAGGAATTCCTTCCCAATATCCCATCTAACCCTGCCCTCTGGCAGTGGGAATTCATTCCCTGTGTCCTGTCCCTCAACCCCTTATCCCAAATCCCTCTCCAGCTCTCCTGAAGCCCCTTTAAGCACTGGAAGGAGTACTAAGGTTTTCCCAAACCCTCCTCTTCTCCAAGCTGAACAATCCAAATTCAGCCTTTCCTCAGAGCAGAGGGGGCCCATCCTTCTAACCAATTTTTGTGTGGCTTCCACTGGATTTGCTCCAACATTTCTGTGCCCTTCCTGTGCTGGAGACTCCAGGGAACACAAGGCTGGTTCTCTAATCACCAGAGCAAGGCCAGCAGGGGATGTCCCTCAGTGTGGGTGGCTGCAAGAAGGGGACACATCTCCCATCAACACCTGCTGCTTGTGTGTGGGGCAAGGTAGGGATTCTTGGGAAGCCCCAAGGCCCACAGGACCCTCTCAGCTTCCACCTTCCCACCTCTTTGCACCCTTTCCTATATCCAGAGGGTGAGGATGGGGTAGGGACAGCAGCAAAATCAACAATTATCTGTATTTAATAACTAAATCTGTTTTTCCTCCAGTGACAGCCCCTCAGTGCTGCTGTTGATGGCACAAGACCCTGAAAATAGTTTTTTTGGAGGTGTCCAACAGGTACAGACCCCTGTGTAACCCCTCACTCACCCTCTGTTGCTCTGTGGACCTGCTGTGGTGGTGCCCAGGTACAGCTCTGATCCCTGGCATCCTGGGAAGGTGATGGATCCTATTCCAGGGGCACAACAATGGTTGTGCATCACCTTTGGCATCAAAGCACGGTGTTGGAAACTCCCCAGCAAGTGTAATCATGGAATGGTTTGGGTTGGAAGGGACCTCAAAGACCATCTAGTTCCAACCCCCATAAAAAACTTGATTAAAGGCTGGTAGATTGAAGGAAGGATGAATAAAAATTGGGATTCTTAAAGGGGGCTCATCACTTGTCAGGATGAGCCTTTAACTTAAAAAGTCCAAAAAATAAATCATGGAATCATAGGCTTTGGTTGGAAGGGACCTGATGGATCATTTCATTCCACTGGGGACACCTTCCACCAGATCAGGTTGCTCAGGGACAGGAGGAGAGATTTAAATCATAAAACAACCACCCTGTGCTGGAATCTTCAGGAAGAGCAGATAAAACACGTGGATATTTGGAGGTGGTGTGGAATTCCTGCCTGCTCACGAGTGCATCCCACTGCTCACTACACACTTACACACTCTGCCCGTTGGAATTACAACCCCCTTTTTTTTGGGAGCACGTGGGAACGGGAGAAACTCGCAGCGTGTTTCCTTTGAAAGGGAAAGAAAAGGGGGAAAAAAATTCCGAGCCCAAGTTCCAGAGCGATTCCAAGCGAGGAAGAAGCACGATCCTTCCTGTGGCTGGGCTGGGGGAGGGAAGGGGATGGAGAGAGGAAGAAAAGGAGGAGAGGGGGGAGGACAAGTTCGTGGTTAGATGGGAGCTCCCACCCATTTCCTTTCCTTGCCCTTCCCAGGCATGTCAGAGGCGGGAGCCAAGACAAATCCAAGCCTCGGGAGCTCAGACAGACAGCACCGCTTACCGAGAGCTAATCCAGCCTCGGGAGCAGCGGGAGGGACGGGAGGAGTGCGGGGGGAAAAAAAAATTAGGAAGGGGGCAGTGCCCTCTGCTGCCAAAGGAACGGTGTCGGTGTGGAGGATCCGGAGGAGAGAAGGGAGGGATGGCACCTCCGGGAGCTGGAAAACAAACAGTCAGGGCACACAAAGAGGGGAGGGGAGTTGAGTGAAGTTCATCTGAGGTCAGCAGGGGTCATCTGAGGTCAGCAGGTTCATCTGAGGTCAGTAGATTCATTTGAGATGAGCAGGAGTCATCTGAGGTGAGCAGGATTTATCTGAGGTGAGCAGGGGTCATCTGAGGTGAGGAGGTTTGTCTGAGGCGAGTAGGTTCATCTGAGGTCAGCAGGATTCATTTGAGGTGAGCAAGGGTCATCTGAGGTGAGCAGGGCTCATCTGAGGTGAGGAGGGGTCACCTGAGGTGAGTAGGACTCATCTGAGGTTAGCAGGGGTCATCTGAGGTCAGCAGGACTCATCTGAGGTCAGTAGGGGTCTTCTGAGATCAGCAGGACTCATCTGAGGTCAGCAGGATTCATCTGAGGTAATCAGGACTCATCTGAGGTGAGCAGGTTCATCTGAGGTGAGCAGGACTCATCTGAGGTCAGTAGGGGTCATCTGAGGTCAGCAGGATTCATCTGAGGTCAGTAGGGGTCATCTGAGGTCAGTAGGGGTCATCTGAGGTCAGCAGGATTCATCCAAGGTCAGCAGGCTCATCTGAGGTCAGCAGGTTCACCTGAAGTTCTCCCCAGCCCAGGTTCTCAGCAGTGACCTGGATCTGATGACTCCAGCGCCCTCACGCAGGCGTTTGGGGAGTCTGGATGAGCTGAGGTCCTTGGAGAAGTGGGAAGATGCTGCCATTGCCAAGGAAAACTGAGCGTGGAGCAGCAGAGCCGTGGTGGGCACGTCTGGAGCTTGTGGCTGCTGCTCTGAGGAGCCCAGCGAGGTGCAAACAGCACGAGCAGAGGAGGGCAGGTCTCCATCCTCCCCTGGGGCCTTGAGACCGAGGTCAGGGGTCATTCCACCTAATTTGAGCCCTCTGAGTTCTCATCATCCATCTTGCTCTACGAAAACAGAGAGCCTGAATCCACCTGTCACCTTAAAGAAGTGACATCCAGAGGAGACCAAGGGCATCAGATGTCCCCCTTGTCCTATTCCAAATGTCCCCTTTGAGGCTCTCTACCAGTGCCACCAGTCTGCAACCCCCTCTCTCTCAATCCTCAGCTTTTCTCTTCACATCTCCACCCTCTGAGTGGTGTTGGAATATTCCCGGGAGCTTTCTCCCTAAAGAAAGTATAATAACACAAATAATTTGCATTTAACAGCGACATGTCTATAGCTGTGCATGAGGGGGTCTCGCTGATATTATTGTCTGGTCTTTGATGGAACTGGACTCACCTTCAAAACCCTTTTCTTGACATTTGGGGAGCCAAAATTTTCCCTCAGCAGGTGTTGGAGGCAGACATGAACTCCCACGAGCTTTGGGAAAACCACCAATTATCAGGAGAGAATTTTAGATGAGTCAGAAGGGCATTGACTACAAAAGCCTCCTGAAAACCCTTGGAAAGAGGTTTCGTTGGATATCAGGACTAGCACGTGTTGAGTTGGTGTTTCCTGGCTTACCCAGGAAGAAATCTCTTGTCTGATCTTCCTGAGGAGGAAAACCTGAAAATCTCCCACGTTTTCTAATGGATTAAATACTCCAGTGCCCAGGTGGAATCAAGTAAATTATCTCCATCAGTCATTCTTTGCAGTCATAGATCTTAATTTTCCACTTTTTTACTTTTCCCTCTGTCCCTCTTTTTCCTCTTGTGATTCCACCGTGCTTCCACAATAAGAAGGTTTTATGTTTTGCTGTACACCTGTCCAAGAGTGGCCTTTCTTTCTCTTCTTCTCACTTTTCACCCCCTTCACGTCCCATTTTCCATAAAACCAGAACTGGGATCCTGCAGCCAGCGGGGGAAAACAGAAGATGAGCAACAGTTGGGCACTGCTGAAATAGGGGATCATAGGAAGAAGGAACCAGAATTCCCATTTCAAGGGCAAAGCTGAAGCTTCAGGTAACACCT